TGTGAAAAAGCTGTGGGAGCAGGTCATAAATTCTTCCAGACCCATCCTGGGTCTAAACATAATCTGAACAGAGGAACTAAAGTAACTTCTTTCAAGTATTACCCTTTACTTCTTACCTTCCTTGACACCCAGGAAATCACCTCTTGACAGCTCTGAAGCCAGTATCCACAGGGTCCTGGAGGGAGTCTTAATGCTTCTTGGAAAGCAAAGTTAGATGGATGAGTCCTAAGTATGTTACTGGGACTGACTGCACAGGAAACGTAAAACTTGGCTATGATTTCTATAATGATCAATAGACTCCAAGAAGAATGACAGAAAACACAGGTCTCCATGTAGATTTCTCTCTGCCCAGAGCCTACAGCCCTATTCTCTATAGACAAGCTTCCTGGTCCTGGGTGTTTGCAGTTTTCCGCACAAGAAAGCACTCTGTAATGTGGAGACCAAAGTAGATAACTTGATTATGTTCCTGCCCTACAATTGGTTTGTCACAACTTTCTGACACTGCTACAGGACAGGAGAAGAAATTGCAAAACAAATTGCTTCCTGTCCTCTAGGCACTGCCCATCATAATGGTTTACACAGGACAAATTTGCGTTAATTCTGCTTAATGTACTGAAAGAGATCTATTAAAAATTTGGCTTCAGCCAAATGGATAAGTCTCTTTTTTGGGAAAAATGACACTTCTGGGAATTCTCCAGTAAATTCTAACAGTGATTTTTATTACTCAGGACATTAGTGTGACAGAGAGAAGGTGATTCCTGTCTTGATGGTTTGCATTCTGCTTGGTTACTTAGATTTTGGGCTGGAAGAATCTCAGGATGACCATTGTTATGCCTGGAACAAGAGTGTTCATAGCATGGACACTGTGGTCATGATTCTGTTGGTGACAGTGAGTCACTTAGAGGGTTAATGGGTTGAAAGTGACATGACAACAACTTGAGCAAAGGCTTTCTGACACTTAATGCTGGAGTTGGTTGGCAGGGTAAGCCTGGGCATCTCTTTCCTTCAACTTAACATCCGGGCAACGTTAATGCACTGCTTTGGAAAGAGGAGGTTCTCCAGCTTGTGAGGGGAGTGTAAAATACAATATTGGTGCTCAGCAGGAGCGGCTGTGGACGAACTACTATTTAGAGCTCAGCCAGTTCCAAAGTAGGTCCCTGGATTTGAAAATACTGCTTGTGTGAAGCACCTCTCTCACAGACATGGGGAAATTAGAATAACTTGGCTCTTCTTAATCAATTTTTAAAATACTATTTTGAATTTTCAGTTGACGTTTACAAGCTAACTAGAGTTGCATTTGGCAATTTCTGTATAAACTGTTCAGTGATATTAGTAGAATAATTTGGCTCTTGGTTGACTTTTTGCTGTTTATTCCTCTTTAGCTTAGGCAGTGACTCCACAAGAAGTGACTCCTCTTCTTCAGCCCCTCCTACCATTTTTCCTGGCCACTTGGCTCAATCTGAGACTATTAGATTCCTTGCTGTCCTCTTTATCCTTGAGGTGTTTATTTATATGCCTTATATGTTCCACAGGAAGGGAGAATTTGTCTGCTCCCTTAGCCTTTATCTGAAACATGTGTGACTGCCTGGAAAGAGGAATGGACAGGTCTTTTTAAGAAATAGCAAAATGAGAAATTGCAGTTGTGTTTAAGGGATCAAAGAACACTTTGAGAGGCAAGAGAAAAATTTCTTTAACTGAGCTGTGTTAATTAAGAGGACTCTAGTGTCTTAGTCCTTAGGGAGTTTGCTGCTAACCCAAAGGCAGCATTTCTTTTGTAATTTGAATTTTTAATTTCACTTATAGTTGGCTCCTCAGGACAAAAGATGAGCAATTTCCCCTCATGTGATTTATAGCTTCCTGAAAACCTGCTGGAGGAACAACTATGAGTAGGTTCCAACTCAATGGCAGTAGTACATTTGAGGTTTTTTAGTTATGTTGATTAACATAACTAAAAGGGATTTTTAGAGGGGTAGGGAATCAATTCCTGATGTCTTTTTTTTTTTAAATGACTGGAGTTTTGATGTCTTTATAATTGGAGATAATTCTATTTAAGAATCTTTTCCTTTCTTGAATAAACTGATGATATTTGGAGGATATGATACCTAGTTCAATTTTTTAAAAAAGCTTTTGTTAAGTGTTACCCAGTTGATCATGACTCATAGCGACTCTGTGCACACAGATTAAAAACCTTGACCTATCCGCCATCCTCACAATCTCCTGCAACACAGGTCCATTGTTGCAATCATTGTGTCAATCCATCTCCCTCAGGGTCATCTTTATTTTGCTGACCTGTATACTTTTCCAAAGACTGGCACCTCCTGACATGTCCAGGCAACACAAGACTGAAGAGTTTCACTGTCTTTGCGTCTAAGGAGTGCCTTGGTTGCATTTTCTCCAAGATAGATTGTTTGTTCTTTTGGCAGTTCATGGTATATTTAAAACTCTTTTCCACCAATACAGTTCAAAGATACTAGTAGTTCTTCAGTACTTCTTATTCATTGTCTAACTTTCCTATGTCTGTGAAGCAGTTAGTAAAGCTATTGCTTGAAACAGGTCCCCAGAATTTTTAAGAAACTGACATCCTTACTCATTAGCACTTGACAGATCCTAGATAGCAGATGTGTCCAATGCAGAATTAATTAATTAATCTATCTATCTATCTAGTTGTTGTTACATGCTGTCAGGTTGCTTGCAGTTCATAATGACCCTCCTCACAATAGCTCTGAACCTTGCCCTATCCTGAGCCAGTCTCACCATCTTCAACACAACCCCGTTACGACAGTTACTGTGTCAGTCTATCTCATCCTGGGACTTCCCCTTTTGAGCTGTCCCTCTGTCCTTCCAAATATAATGTCTTTCTCCAAGGACTGGTCCCTCCTGGCAACATGAATATGTGAATGAGACTGAGCTTTAAAATCCTTACCACTAAGGAGCAACTTGGTTTTACCCTTTCCGGAACAAACCTATTTGTTCTCTTTTGGTTAGTAGCCTAGAGTTTAACCATTTGCACCATTCAGGAACTCTCTTTATTAATACACTATTTATCTTCCTTCATTCAAACCTAAGCCAATCACTTTCCCCAGGCTGCCTGGGGAGACTCAGGCAAAGGATCATATAGAGTAGATGGAACACAGAGGGGAGACAACCAGCACACTATGGGGGATGGAAATGGCTCCTTCACATGGTAAAGAGGATCAGAAATGCCATTATCAGGCAAAAGAGCCCCATGGCCTCTGATGTATGTAGAAAAGCTGCTGATTTCAGAGGAGGATTCTGGTATAGCCAGTGATGAGGCTCTCACACACACAGTCCCAATCCTAGCTCTACAACTAACTACCTTAATTGTAGAAACCCCAGCCTCAATAACCTTGGCAACTGTATTGGTATCCCTTGAGGCAGTGCTGATTTAGAAGCTGTGACTAGGGATAAATAATAAATCAAAGAAAGTGGGGCTGTCAAGCAGCTGAAGTTCTCAACTCTCATTGTCTCTTGTTGTTTGAGCACCACTGCAGACAGTGGACAACTCAGCAGCCGAGAGTTGCTTCTGTCCAGGGAAGAGATGTACACAAACTTGGTGTAGGCATACATTTCAGGGGATGAAGGACTGTGGCAGGACAGGTGTACCTAGTGCAGGGAAGGCAGAGAGGGGCACATCTTTATTTCTTGACTGCTGCTACCATTGATCCAAAGAACATTAAATTGACGATAATGTCAGTCTTTTGTCTATCTATTGTGATTTGACCTAGTGGTAAGGATTTTTGTTTGCTTATTGGTTTGTCTCCATACTGAAGACTATGACCTTTGATTTTCAGTAAGTGCTTGAAGTCCTCTTTGCTTAAGCTAGCAAAGTTGTATACCATCTGTGTAACACAGGTTGTTGAGGTCTTTCTCCAATCTTGATGCAGCAGCATTCTTCACATTTCAGACTATTCAGTTTCTCAAATTATTTGCTTAGCATACAGATGGAATAGGTATGGAGAAAAGATACAACACTTGACACACACTGTTCTTGATTTTGAACCATGCATTAGCCCTTTGTACTGTTTGGACAACAGGGTCTATTTTTATGTATGCGTTTCACACACAGAAAGACACATTGAGCACAATTCCATGTTCTGAAATTCACATTTTTCTCTATACTACCTGTAATTTTTTTTAAATCTCTTTGATGAGGCGGTGGGGTTGTAGGCTGGGCTAACCTGAAGCCTGGGGCCTTTGGAGTCTCCCTCCACTCTGGAAGTTGACTGGCTGGCTGATGTTGTGGTGGCGTCTTGTCTTGGTGGCAGTCAGGCAAGGGAAGTTTCTGGGGTTTATTTGTTGTGTGTTACTGTTCTGACTGGGGGCAGAGGCCGAGGCCTGCTCAAGGATATGACTTTTTTTTTTTCTATAATTATATTTTATTAATTTTAAGGATATGACTTTAAAATCCTGTAGGACACGAGGGCCTGTGGCCTGAGGGCCAAATTATTAATTTTAGAAAAATATTCTTTAAAATCAACAGCAATCATTTGTCTGTTTGCTGTACTGAACAACTTGGAGTTACTGTGATGCTGAACACAATTCCATAGTTGTGTCAGATAGTGGTTATCATGATCAGTCTGAACAGAATGAATTTATGTTGATTCTCTTTTTTTCTGAACCTTTCTTTATCTTTGAATGCAAAGTAAATGGGAAATTAGTTACCATCTGGAGGACTGTAACATATTGTAGTACTAAAATAAAATCCTCTAGACAGCTTAGAGAGACCTAAGAACTACATTAAAAAAAATGGTGGGCTCTAGGCACAAGATGATGATGGAGACTAGAGTTACCGCATTCAGCAAAAGTGTACTAACTGCCTTTATGTGCCAGCAGTGTTAACATGCTGGGGATACACTTAGGAGGGACAAGGCAGCGTGCCTGTTCTCACTCACAGAGCAGACACTTTGCAAACTCAGGGAGAATCTTGCCAGGTGTTTTGATACCTTCTTTTCCTCTCATCCTTCCCAACAGGACAGAAGAATAAGCTGAACAGACTCTGACCACTGGCTTTCAACTCACCAAAACTTTCTACCTACTTTTCCTTTTGTGGCCCATGTGCTACATCCTCTGCCCTCAGTGTGCAACTGGCCCCCAACGCAATGTGTGTTTGTCAAACCATGGAAGTGGGGCAGTATGGCAAGAACGCAAGTCGGGCTGGAGACCGGGGAGTCCTCCTGGAGCCCTTCATCCACCAGGTGGGCGGACACAGCAGCATGATGCGCTACGACGACCACACTGTGTGCAAACCCCACATCTCCCGCGAGCAACGCTTCTATGAATCCCTTCCGCCTGAAATGAAGGAGTTCACTCCTGAGTATAAAGGTCAGTTGCTGGCCAGTTTGGCAAGAGCAGAAACCTTGAACCTTCAGACTCTTGGCTCGGTTTTCCTGGCTGTGTAATGGGATTGTAGGTCTCCATTTCTCAAAGCAACTAAGTTACTTTGTTAAGCAAGAACATCAGCAAAGCCTTTAGGTTTTGACAGTTGAATTCATTGGTAGGTAAACCTGAGAAGAATTCACAGCATTAAATTCCATTGATGGAGAAGAACTTGTTTCCCCTCTTTTCTCTTACAATCTAGAAGAGAAAGGGGTGGCACTTTTGACACTGAAGGAGGAAGAATTGCATGCTTTCCAGGTTATTGCTGTGAGATGGCTGGCAAGGAACGTCTGTGAACCTGTGTCTATATATGGAGGGGGAGTGAAGTGATGGTAAGAAATTTAGAGAAGACTAGGACCTAGTTTTGGAGGGGAAGACATTTGCTTTAAAGTATATAAGTTACTTTATAGAAGAGAACTGCATGGGTATATTCCAGAATTGAGTTTCTTATGTTTTAATTATTGTGTGCTTTATATCTATGGTACTGTTTTAAACGTCTGTACTTTTCTGAGGTATAAAAGCACATTTTTCATTTTAAGGTTAAATTTTCAAATACTCTCTGTGCTATGGTATTTTAGTAATAACTTAAAGACATTTAATCACCTCTGATTGTGTTGCGCTCTGGTGGCCTAGTGGGTAGAGAGTTACACTACTAACCCAAAGGTGCCACCTTGTCCATTGGTTTGAATCCACCAGCCATCTGCATCTTGGGGGAAAAAAAGATGGACATTATGCTTCTGTGCATTTTATAGCCTCTGAAAACCCGCTGGAGGGTCATCTACAAGTTGGTTCCCACTCCACAGCAATGACTTTTCCCCCTTTATTGTGAAAATACATGTAACAAAATCACCAACTCAACAGTTTCTACATGTACAGTTCAGTGACATGAATTGCATTCTTCATGTCATTCAGCCTTTATTGTGTGTTGTTCTTAGTTGCCATTGATTTGATTATGATTGATAGCAACCTTGTGAACAAAAGATCTGAACCCTGTGCCAGCCTCACGATCTCTGATATGATTGAGCGTGTTGTTACAGTCACTGCCATCAGTCCTTCTTGCTGAGGGGCTTCCTCTCTTCCTCTGAAGCTCTTTTCCCAGCATGATATCTTTTTCCAAGTGCTTCCTCAAAGTATACGAGACAAAGTTTTACCATCTTTGCTTCTAAGGAGCCTGCTGCTTACATGTCCTCTAAGAGACTTGCTTGTTCTTTTAATGGTCCATGGGATATTTAGTACTCTTTTCCTACACCACAGTTCAATGACATTGATTCTTCTTCTGTCATCTTTTTCATTGTCCAACTTTCAGATGCAGAAGCAGTTAATTGAAAAGGTCATGGTTTAGATCAGGTACACCTTAGTCTTTAAACTGACATCCTTGCTCTTTAACATTTTGGAGAGGTCCTTGTACAGATTTGTCAAGAACCTGTGTTTGTTCCCATTCCAAAAAAAGGTAATCCAACAGAATGTGGAAATTATTGAACAGTACCATTAATATTATATAGAAGTAAAATCTTGCTGAAGATTATGAAAAAACTACTAGAGTAGGCTAAGTCAATGATGATTAATTTTATAAAACACAGTGTTACATGAATGATTGTTTGAAATACAGTGAATGCATAAAATGCAGTGATACACAATGTATGAGAATTTGGTTTGCTAAGCAATATAAAGTAAAAATGAAGTAGTGGGGAAAAGCACCAATAACAATAACAGCAAAACAGTTGGAACAGTACATCAACAAGGATCTGCCAGAAATTCAAGTTTTATTAAGAAGAGGCTGTAGCACAAAGGATGTCATTACAGATGTCAAATGGATCTTGAATGAAAACAGAGACTACCAGAAAGATGTTTACTTGTGTTTTATTAACTGTACAAAGGTTTTTGACTGTATAGTTCATAACAAATTATGGCTAACATTGAGAAGAATGAGAATCGCATAATTAAAAATATGTTGGGTTCGATTGAGTTACCATAAGTCTAAGTTATTTCCGAAGCAGAGATTCTTTCTTTTTCCCCACTCTAGATCACCACTAATCCTTAGCTTTTTTGTATTTATGTGTTTCTTCTAAGTGAGATACAATATTTGTTCTTTTGTGACTTATGTTTTCTAGGTTCACCATCCATGTGGTGGCATGCTTCAGGACACTTCATTTCTCTTTATAACCAAATAATATTCTGTTGTATACCATGAATGTTTATTCATTCATATATTGATGACATTTTAATTATTTCCACCTTTCTTTTGACTGTTCTGAAAAGTACTGCAGATATCACTGTTGAACAACTTTCTATTTGCATTCCTACTTCTCACTTCTTTGGGGTATATACCTAAGATCAAAATTGAGTCAATCTTTTATATACTTCTATATTCAGTTTCTTGAGGAAATGCCAAACAGTTCTCCATATTGACTGACCATTTTGTGATCTCACCAACAATGAATGGAAGTTGGTGTTTCTCTGTAACTTTTCCAGTGCCTGTTGTTTTCTGGGTGGTTTGTTTTTTATTTTTGAGGTTTTTATTTGCATTTTTTGCATCTAGAATGTTTCTCTAATGAAGAGAAGATAGCATATATCATTGTGGTTTTAATTTTTCATCTTCCAAACAGAGGGGATCATTGAAAAATAAAGAACTCTTCAACGGGATAGACTGACATAGTGACAGCCACAGTGGACTCAAATACAGCAGCAGTTATGAGACTGGTAAATGACTAAACAGTGTTTCATTCTCTTGCATATAAAGTCACTGAGCTAACAGTAATTGGCAACATAATAAGGATCAGGATCAAACAGCTGATAAAGATCTAATATCTAGAGTATATAAAAACAACAGAAAGATAGTACAATTAAAAATGGGCAAATATTTGTTGATCTTTTGCTTGAATAGACATTTGACCATAGAGGATTCCCAGATGGACAAAAAGATGCACACATCATCAGCCATTAACTGTCTTTTTTAAGATGTCTTTTTGCCAGGTTTGATTCTCTCTGGTGGCAAGTCAGATGAAATCGAACCATCCTCGCTTCCAAGGAGCATATTCTGGCTGCTTTCAAGATTAATTTATTTGGTTTTTCTGGCAAGCCATACTATATTTAGTATTCTTCACCACCACTGCAATTTGAATGGTATTCCTTTTTCTTCAGTCTTTCTTATTCATTATCCAGCTTTCCCATATATATGAGACAATTGAAAATACCATTATGTGGGTAATTGAAATTAATCTTTACTTTTAAATTCTTAAAGAGCAAGAAGCTGCACTGCAGTCCCATAAGGTATGCAGTTCAAATCCACCAGATGCTCTGCTGGAGAAGGAGGGACAATCTCCTGTACCAGTCAGATCTGATTTGACAGTACACACACGCAAATAATAAATACATACATACATACATACATTCTTAAAGATATTTTTGCACAGATTTACCCAGTGCTACATCGTTTGATCTTTTTTTTTTAAAAAAAATTGTTTTTTTATTATTTTGTATGCGTGTACCGTCAAATCCTATCTGACTGATACAGAAGGATATTGCTCCTCCTTCTCCGGCAGAGCATCTGGTGGATTTGAACTGTGTACCTCTGGGATTGCAGTGCAGCTTCTTGCCACTAGGCCACCAGAGCTCCCCCACATCGTTTGATCTTGATCTCTGCTTCTGTAGGTCTTGATTGTTGATCCCAGTAAAATGAAATCCTGTAAAAGCTTCAGTTTTGGTTATGGGTTTTTTTAATTTATTTGAGTAAATGTTTCTAAATCATACTGGTTTTTCAATAAATGATTCATGGATATTTTGTTTTATGCCATCAATTATAATTTATTAGCATAATTAATTGTTTAATCACCCCTTTATTACTGCCTGTTCATTCACCAACTTAACCTATTTATTGATCTCTTCCTGCCCATGCCTGTTAATCCTCCAGAATTGATGTTGTATAAATTCTCTCCTTACATTTTTATAATAGTGGTTTTATATTATGATAATATTTTTTATTGATAAATTCTATCAGATATTTAAAGATGAAATAATATCAGATTTTTCAGAAAGGATTAAAAGAAGAAATAACTTTTAACCTCCTTCTCTAAGGCCAGTATTCCACTGATACTGGATATAGAAAAGAAATTTCAGGGAAACAACAAATCATTCATCTCTCATGAACCTAAATAGAAAATTTTTAAATAACATTTTAGTAAATAAAATCCAACAGTGTAGGAAAATATACCATGATTGTTTGATTTTCATATGTTAAAACAGATCTTCTGTCCCTGGAATAAATTCCATATAAAAGGTGTTGCTTTTGAAAATCAATTGATGTCCTTTGCATTCTTGCTTTCAGCTGCTATTCTCTCATAGTGACCTTGTGCACGGTGGAACAGACAGCTGCTCAGTCTTGCAGTATCTGAAAGCTCTGCAAAGATCTCTTCAATGTCACAGCAGCATGCAGGTCTTCAGTAACATAAGTGATGGCTGTTCAAGTGGTTCTTTGGCCAAAATTCAGCTGCAGCTCCAATTTCTATACCATTTTTCTCAATGTTGTGACAATTTTAATTTTCCTCACTTTCATGGTAATCCTTATTGAAGGCTACAGTCTTTTACTTTTATCAGTAAACACTGCAAGTTGTCTTTATTTTTGGCAGGCAGAGTTGGGGTATCCAAATGTCTCTATAATGAATCTTCTTTCAGTCATAGTGCCTTATTCTTCTTTGTATTGTCCAGCTTCTCATACAGTGGATGTGTGGTTTCTGGAAATTTCTCCCAATCTGTAAGCTGTCTTTTCTCTTTGTTGATAAAATTCTTTAACAAATTAATTTCACTTTAATGTGTTTTCATCAGTTGTATTTCTTGCTGCTTGTGCCTTTGTGATCATAGCTGATAGGCCATTGTTAAAAATGAGGAACCGTCCACCAGACTTGCACTTTCATTTTATACCAAAAAAAGTTAGTTTCATTGTTCAAGTC